TGATTTTGATCTTACGAAACTGTTGTTGAAGTCTTAATCGAAGCACAAACCGCACGAAACCGCAGAAATTTAGCAGAAATTTCACAAGGATATACTAGCAAAATAACGAGAGTAAAAAAGTCTCCTTTTACAGAAGTATAACCTTTTATACCAAAGGCAAAATACGCCCCAACGGCTGTGATTAATTCGATCTAACGGCTGCAGAGACACCGTTTCGAATTCGACGGTTAACTATTAAACGACACCGTTTCGAATTCGACGATTCGCTTTTCAAATCTACCCGTTGGACTGTTGCAGTTATCTTATTTACAGCGGCATTTATTACGCACGTCATTCAGAGGACAGCTGTCGCGTCACGTGCCGCGTCTTAGTCAGACCTCTCAGACGGGCCTATTTAAGCCCATTTCAACACTCCTTTCCACTCTTGTACATTTTAAATTTTGACAAGTATTTTACTTCAGCTATTGCCACAGTGACCAAGTGTCACTCATTTTACTTCGGCTCCGGCCACTGTGACCAAGTGTCACTCATTTTACTTCGGCTCTAGCCACAGTGACCCAGTGTCACTCATTTTACTTCGGCTCCGGCCACAGTGACCCAGTGTCACTCATTTTACTTCGGCTCCGGCCACAGTGACCCAGTGTCACTCATTTTACTTCGGCTACGACCACTGTAATACCCCAAAATTTTGTGATATTTTAGCATTCAGTTAAGGACTAAATTGTGGAAAGATATTGTTTTGGGCTTAATAGCCAAAATATCCAAAGTTGAGGGGCTTAAAAGAGGAGAATTTGGATAAGGATGGCTTATTTCTTTTCTCCCTTTTCCTCTTTCTTCTCCAGCCTGTTTCTGCTCTTGTCTTCCCGCTGCAGCCCGAAAAAAAAAAGAAGAAAGGGAACCCAGCCATGCCTTGGGAAACCGGTAGAAAGCTTGGAGATTTCTCCTTCCTTTCTTGTTCTAGAACCTGATTGGAACCCAGAAATTCTCCCCCCTGCAGGAAGCTTTCGGATCTGCCTTGCTCTGCTCCTCACCGTCCGGCTGCTCCTGCTTTTTGGGTGTGATTTGTTCGGTTTTTTGGTAAGAAATAGCCATGAATCTCCCTTCTTCAACTTTAATTGCCTTGGGTTTATGTTAATTGCTCTTGGTTCCTTCAATTTTTGGGTAGAACCCGTGAGCTTTCTTCTTCCATGCCGCCGGCCTTCTTCCCCAATCTGCTAGCTCCGGTTCCTTGCTTGTAAATTCTGGTATGTGGCAGCCTTAAACCATTGTTTTTAAGCTTGATTAAGGTAGAATTAGCTTGATTT